GTGCACCGACGTGGGCGAGACACGCTTCACAGTCTTTGTCTATGAAGTATCCCCGTGCCCCTCTGATAAGGCACATACGAGGGAGGGCGAGGAGATGGGAAAGGGATGAGGACGAAACCAGCGAGCAGAAGAACAACGACACTCGTGGACTTACAGAAGGCGTGTCTTTCGCTGCGCCATGGCGTGTCTCTGGGCAAGGTCAGGACGCTTCGCCACTTTAAGACGAAGACAAGACGATGACAAAATCGGGTGAGGATAAATCGAGAATCTCTGATATCCGGCGGCTCTGGCGGATGTCTCGCGCGCCGCAGCCTCCTCAGAGCACCTCGGAACGCTCTGAGAGCGCTCCGCAACGCTCTGGGACGGATTCATCCTCGTCCCAGCCCCGCCCGGCTCTAGGCAAGTCAGGGCGCTTCGCCACTGGCGGGCCGACGACTTGCCGCCGCTCGGACGTCCACTTCCCGTGCAGTTGTCGGTGTCATGCGTGCTTTTTGTTGCTCGATGGTCCAAGATGGTCCTCGATGGTTCTCGCCGAGAAAAAATTAGATGCTCCTTCTGGGGACCTTCCTGGAGCCACTCGTTCCACTCGTGCGTCGAAGCTGCGTTGTATTTGAGTCGAAACTGAGTCGAACCTGAGTCGAACCTGCGTCGAAGCTGCGTCGCACTTGAGTCGAACAGATCCGTTAGGTGGGCCCCAGGAAGGTCCCCAGAACGAGCATCGAAAAAAATTGCACACGTCCGAGCGATGCCACGACGACAAAGAGGGGCCCGCTCCTTGGTGCGCTCGAACAGGGGCCGGCCCTGCCGCTGCCCGGCGCGGTCGTGCTTCGGCTCCCCGTCCTGGCGGCGGCTTCTCCGGGCTCGCTGCTTGACGACGGGGGAGGGGCAGGCAGCCACCCCTTCCCTCCTCCACCTGCTCCTCCTCCTCCTCCTCCTCCTGCTCCTCCTCCACCGCCTCCTCGCCCTCCCTCTCCGCATCACTCCTCCCTCCAGCTGCTGGTGCACCTGTTGCTGCTCCTCGTCCTCCTCCTCCTCCTCCTCCTCCTCCTCCTCCACCGCCTTCCACCTCCTGCTCGTCACCCTCCCCGTACGTTGACATTTGGGACCAAGGGGCCTGCTCCTGAACTTCCCAACCTCGCTCGAACCAGGCCAGCAGGCGGCCATTTGCAAGCACGGCACCTGTGCGTCAGGTGGTAAGCGATTTCTGATTCGGCGCTTCGAAAGTGGGCGAAGGGGGGGGGGGCAGGGGGGAGGGGTCTGGCCCCAGACCTCTGCTTAATGCGACTGCTTGCAACAATGCGTCAAATGGAGGAGGCTCCGCCTCCTCGAAACAGGCGCCAGACACAGCCAAGATCTACTCCATGGGGGGGGAGAGGAAGGGGGGCCGAGGCCCGGCGGCGATCGGCGAAACAACGAATAAGAACGCGATCACGTGCAAATAATGCGCTTCGTGCTCAGGCATCCAGAAGAGCCCAGAATCGAGCCCTGGGCATCTGCGCGTCGGGTGCCACAGCGTGGCGCAGCGGTGCTCTCTGGCGCAGGGCGGCCCCGCGCGGGGCAGGGCGCAGCAGAGCGGGCGCGCGCAGGAGCAGAAGCCGCACGTCGTGTGCAGCGCGTGCGGCCACTGGGCGCACCAGGTCGTCGCGAACTTTGTTTTTTTTGTTTTTTGTTTTTTTTTCTCTCGCGACATACACGCGCGAATGGCATGGCTTCTCAGTGCGATGAACCGATGGCCGCGGGGGAACTACAACTACGCACGGGCCCTACGCGTTCTTGTTTACATTGCCACACACATCTTCCTAAGCGACAGTGCACGCGGCAATGGTATGCCAAACCAGGTCGTTGGGAACTGGTGCTGCTCGAAGTGCGGAGGATTGCAGCAGAAGTGGCGACGAGAAATGTACAACCTGATGGGGGTGCGAGTGGCGGAGCTCCATGAGTGCCAAGAGCAGGTGCCAGATGAGTCAGGAGCTGCTGTCCAAGACCTTCTGGGAGGGCTTGCGACAGAACCAGAAACGTGAACGAGACTGGCCTCCCGCCAGATGCTCGGACAAAACAAATCATGAGCGTACAGGCTCAAGCGTGAGGCGGAATTGCATGCGAAGGCGGTCCCACTCGCCTCGCAGGACGTCGGCCACGTAAGAACGGGGCGCAAGCGCCTGAAGATCGACTGGCTGAACCGCGTGGTGAACTTCAAAATGGAGAAACTGTTGCACATGTTGCTGACGCGAAGAGGCGAGCTGCAGATGATGCTGTGACGGCGTTTGCCGAGAAGGTAGGATTCAGGCGAAACGGCGTGAACTCGAAAAAGCAAATCAACATGTTAATGTTTGGTTTGCTGCTGCGTACGGATCCTCCTCCTCCTCCTCCTCCTCCGCCTCCTTCTCCTCCTTCTCCTCCGCCTCCTCCTCCTCCTCCTCCTCCTCCTCATGCTCCCCTCCTCCTCCTCCTCCTCCTCCTCCTCCTCCTCCTCCTCCTCCTCCTCTCCCCCCCTCCTCCTCCTCCTCCTCCTCCTCCTCCTCCTCCCCTCCTCCCTCCTCCTCCTCCTGCTCCGTCCCTCCTCCTCCTCCCTCCTCCTCCTCCTCCTCCTCCTCCTCCTCCTCCTCCCTCCTCCTCCTCCTCCTCCTCCTCCCTCCTCCTCCTCCTCCTCCTCCTCCTCCTCCTCCTCCTCCTCCTCCTCAGAGTAGCCCTCGGCCAGGGCGGGTGCCCCCCAGCGAGGCTGCGGGGCGCTCCAACGGCCGCACGAGAGCCAGCACGCACGTCAGGTTGCTCTACAGTTTTTTTTTTCCAGCGCACACACATGTCGCGCTTTGGGGGTCAAGTTGCTCTACAGTTGGGCTGCTGCAAGAAGGAACGCTAAATGAAGTATGAAACCCATTTTGGGGCCCAAGCGCCTGCGTGCACGAGGAGGGCTAGATGAACAACCACGGAACGACCCAAGGAACAGCGAGCCCCGTCCGGACCCGAAGCGATCCCTGCTTCAGCGTCTTGACTGTGTTGCTTTCTTGCGTTCAGGACCACGTCATGGATCGCAAGTGTTCAGTCAGTCAGTCCTCCTGTGCTACTCGCCGCCTCCTCATCCATCCTCCTCCCCCCTCCCCCTCCGCAACCCTCCCGCCCCCCACTCCTCCCCACCATCCATCCCGGTCCAACCCTCCCCCCTCGCACACGACCGCACTCCTTCGACCCACGCCGGACGCGCCCAGTGGGCGAGAGACGGGGGGGGGGCAGGCGCAGGGGAGGGGGGAGGCATGCCCGGTGGTTCAAGGATGAGGTCCTGAAGGATGGGGTCCTGAGGACGAGGTGCCTCAGACAACGTGTGTTGTTTCCCACAGTGTGTTTTTTGTTTCCCACAGTGTGTGTGTGTGTGTGTGTTTGTGTTTTTCTTCCACAGTGTGTGTGTGTGTTTCCCACAGTGTGTGTGTTTTCCCCACAGTGTGTTTTGTATGTGTGTGCGTTTCTTCCCACAGTGTGTTTCTTGTTTGTTTTTTGTGTGTGTGTTTGTGTTTTTTGTTCCACAGTGTGTTTTTGTGTGTGTGTGTGTGTGTGTGTGTGTGTGTGTGTGTGTGTGTGTGTTTTTGTATGCTTTTCCCACAGTGTGTGCTTTTTTCCCACAGTGTAGGTTTCTTCCCTTGGACCCCTTCCTATCCTGAGGACCCCATCCCCCAGAACCCCGTCTTCGATGACACCGACACGGGGGCACCAAAAGGGGGGAGGAGACCCGCGCGCCCGCCGCGAGCCGGGCCGAGGCCGCGGGAGCCGCGCGTGGGGCCCTGCCCCCCGCCCCCGCCTCCTTCGCCTCCTTCGCCTCCTCCTCCTGCGCCTCCTCCCCTCCCCCTCCCCCTCCTCCTCCTCCTCCTCCTCCTCCTCCTCCTCCTCCTCCTCCTCCTCCTCCTCCTCCTCCCTCCTCCTCCTCCTCCTCCTCCTCTCCTCCTCCTCCTCCTCCTCCTCCTCCTCCTCCTCCTCCTCCTCCCTCCTCCTCCTCCTCCTCCTCCTCCTCCTCTCCCTCCTCCTCCTCCTCCTCCTCCTCCTCCTCCTCCTCCTCCTCCTCCTCCTCCTCCTCTTCCTCCTCCTCCTTCTCCTCCGGCCCCTGCCCCCTGCCCCCTGCTCACCAGCCTCGAACGTATCCCTATCCCTAAGATCGACACGCCAAAAGGAGGTGACAATCTTTGGGATACGCCCTCAGAAACGGAGGAAATCCCCAAGATCGCCATCGTGATGAGGCGATGCCCAACATAGGAATAGGGATGTGTTCCAGGCTGGTAACCTGCAGGTCGGACTTCCGAGAGGCCGGCCCCGGGCTCAGACTGCGAGGTGATGGGCATGTCTTCCACCACCACCACCACCAGAAGTTGGAGGGGGAGGGGGTCCTCCTCCTCCTCCACCTCCTCCTCCACCTCCATCTCCTCCTCCTGCTCGTCCTTCTCCTCCTCCTCCTCCTTCTCCCCCTCCAACTCATGGTGGCGGTGGTGGAACACAGGCCCATCACGAAGGATGTCTGCAGGCAAGCGGGCGACGAAACGAAACGGGTCTTACGCGCGACGACCGGACGCCGTGGGTTGCGCGGGCCGCCAGCGCGGCACGCCGCCTTAGACACGAAGGCGCTTACGCGCGGCCTGACGTGGGCAACTTGCGCGCCAAGATCGGTGAAGAAGACCTTCCGTCGCTCGAAAAGGCTTTCATCACACTTGAATGTGACTCGCCCATGCTGTCTGGAACCACCAATTGAACCAAAGAACGGGTTTCGGCTGAGTCATCCCCACGATTCGCTCTTAAACTGGCCACGGCGTGCAAGTGACGCTGGCGGTGTGCTGCCCGCGCCACGGCGAGAACACCGTTTGGACGAACTTTTGGTCATTGTGCCGAAAATTTGCTGGACTAATATCCCGTCGATCGCACCCGTAAGAGGTAGGGCTCGCTAGTCGCCGCAGAGAGGGGGGGGAGGGGAGGAAGGAGAGAACAGAAGAGGGAGAACACGCACAGACTTCCCGAGATTCCCTTTAGCCCGTCCCAGAAAGGCGCTGCATAACCCGTCCCTGGCGCCCGAGGCGCCGCTAGGGGCGTCCGCAGTGGACCTCAGGCATTTACTATGTTTACGCAAACTCGTCTTCTTCGAAAGAGGCGACGGATGAGCAGGGGCGCATGGAAGGAGAGGAGGCGGAAATTTGCGGGACGGTGAGCTGCCTGACCTCACAGCCAACCGCCGAAAAGGCATGCGAGACTGACAGAGACTTAGACACTGGGACGCGTGCTGCGGTGCTTGTGTCTCTGAGTGCTGGAAGTACCATGCAGGAGAAAAGGGGGGGGGAAATTGGCAGGACCCAGGATGAATGGAAGGAAGGGGAAGGAAGGGGAGGGAGCAGAAGAGACGCACAGAGCCGAAGGAGCAGTGGAGGTGGGAAAGGGGAGAGCTGGACGTAGTGAATGAGATCCTGCGCACGGGGACCTTGCCTTTTTCCCCGCCTGGGCCACAAGCATCCTCGGCCAGAGTGGCCTGGCAATCCCCGCGTCCAAGCAGCGAGAACAGCAGCAGCGCCACGATCCTGACGTTGAGGGAGTTCCCGATGCGAGAGAAACGGTCCTGCTTCGGCATGTGGCTCGGGAAGGAGAACCAGGGCGGGAAGCCCATCAGGCGGAGCTGCTCCTGGGCGGCGCGGACCCTGCTGCCCTCCTCTCCGCTCGCACTTCCGCCCCTCCTCCTCCTCCTCCTTCCTCCTCTTCCTCCTCCTCCTTCTCATCCTCCTCAACCTCGCCCATAACCTCCTCCTCCCTCCTCCTCCTCCTCCTCCTCCTCCTCCTCCTCCTCCTCCTCCTCCTCCTCCTCCTCCTCCTCCTCCTCCTCCTCCCCCCCTCCTCCTCCTCCTCCGCCTCCTCCCCTCCTCCCGGGGGCGCGTCCTGGCCAGAACTCCCTGCTTCTTCTCCTCCTTCCGCCGCCTCCTCCTCCTCCTCCTCTTCCTCCTTCTCTGCCTCCTCTTCCTCCTTCTCTGCCTCCTCCTCCTCCTCCTCCTCCTCCTCCTCCTCCTCTTCCTCCTTCTCTGCCTCCTCCTCCTCCTCTTTCTCTGCCTCCTCCTCCTCCTCCTTCTCCTCCTCCTCTTTCTCTGCCTCCTCCTCCTCCTTCTCCTCCCCCTCCTCGCCCACCCTCTCCGCTCCGTGGGCGTCAGGAAGCGGACGGGCAGCCCGGGGCGCCAGACGTTGTACGTGAGCTCGCCCCCGAGGTCCGCCCCCTCGCGGGGCGCCGCCTGCTTCTCCCGCCTCTCGGTGCCCGCCTCGTCGCCCTCGCCAGTCAGCCACAACGGGCGGAGCTCTTAGTGGGCCCTGGAAACGACAGGGCCGTTTTTTTGCCGGTTCCGTTTTGTCGTTGTTTTGCCGGTTCCGACGCCGTTTTTTTACAGGTTCCGTCGCCATTTGTTGACCGGTTCCGGCTCCGGTTCCAATCCTGGAGCCGTTTTTGTTGCCGTTTCCGGTCACCTTTTTTTTGCCGTTTCCATTTTCAAGGGACATTTTTTTTGGAAGCGGTGAGAAAACGGCCCTGCCGTCTCCGGGGCTCACAAAGGTGGAGCTGTGCTCTCAGCATCGTTACAGTCGGGCTGCTGACAGAAGGAGCGCTAAAGAAAGCACGAAGCCTTTTCCTGGCCCTGTAAGCGCCTCCGTGCCTCAGGAGGGCAAGAGGAACAGCACGGAGGAACCTACGGAACATCGAGCCCCTTTCCGAACCCAAACTGTTCCCTATTTCAGCGTCTTGACTCTTGACTGTAAAGCGATCCCTGTCCAAAAGAAACCTTTCACAAGAAGCCCAACCCTGAGACCCCAAGGCGTCCACTGATTTTTTATGTGGGAGCGTCACGCTGCCCATAGCAAAACCATCGGGAACCCTGGAGGCAAGCCGGGTGCTTGATGGCATAGGTTTCCACGGTATCCCTACTGGCGTGGCCTGGGCCGCACTGGCCGATGTGCCCCCCAGATGGGGATACAGGTTGTTCCCTCCGGGTTTCGAGGGGCATTTCCCCAACTGGGGTGGTGGGATGGCGTGGATCGGGATGGAGATGGGGATAGTTAAGGATCGGTTAAGCGATACTGATGATACATACCCCCCTGGGGGAGTCCGTCGTATCGACGGTCTCTCGAGAGGGGTGCCGAATCGGACGGGCCTCCAGGTGGGAGGAGCTCACTCCTGAGAGGCCGTCGCAACAACGGTCAAGGGCTAGTTGGCTCGATATGGGGGCAGGAAGCCAGATCAGCCCAGATCGAGCCCAGGAGTGAGGCAGATGAAGCCAGATCAAGCGGGATGGCATGGACATAACCGTCGGGAGCGGCCAAGAGAGGGGTGTCCAACAGGGGGGGGTGCAAATCATGGCTGGCGGCATGTGCGCGGCCCAGCGGAGGGACAAGGGACGCAATGAAATAAGAAGGGGCGCCATGAAATCTGGGGAAATATCATGGCCCCCGCCATGATATCCCTCCCCTCTAGTCATCACCCCCCTCTTTGCCGCCCCCGAAACTGGGAGCGAAAGGGACTTGACCGGGTTTCGACTGCGGATGTCCCAGCGCCGATGCCGAGCGACAGATCCCAGGAACCGCACGCCAACACCGGGGCAACACGGGCCACGGCTCCCCCCAGTCGAGTGACACAAAGAAGCGAGTCCTGCGCAGGACGTGGCGACCTTGAGGTACCCCGCGCGGAGAAGAGGGCGCTCACGCGCGAACCTCGCGCGAAGGGCCACGCATTCGACCCCGCGTTCTTCCGTCGCTCATTTGTGGCTTGCTCTGGAGACTCTTCATGGGGGGGGATCCCATGGGGGGATAGGATCCCAGGGGGAGGATCCCATAGGATTCCCTGGGGATCCCATGGGGGGCAGGAGGGGATCCCATGGGGGGGATCCCCCCCATGGAGAGTCTCCCGACTTGCTCGCCTCGTGCACGAGGACGGTGGGCCCGTAGCCGGCCGGGGAGCGGAACTTCCCGTAGCCCTTGGTGAGGCAGGCGCTCGTCCTGTCGCCCCTGCGTGGCAGAGGCAAAAGGAAGCGGCACAAGCACACACAAACTCTCCACGGCCCGCGCGGAAGCCGATCGGAGGGCGCCAACCGTACACCCATACCCATCGGTCGGAAGAAGCAGGCGGAAACACGAAGCAGGCAGGCGCTGAAGATAGATTGGGGTTCCGTCCGCCCCCGGAGGAGGACGGGGGAGGTGAGGCCACTCGATCATTGAGGTAGAAAGGCGCTCAAAGGGGATTGGAATCTGGGACTCCAGAAAAACCTACCCTCAACGACCGATGGGTACACCCATGCCGAAATATTCGCCAGGCTGGTCCTGCGCCACGGATTGGTGCAGACGCCCTCTTCGCCGAGCTAGGAGGGCGTATATACCGATCCCGATCTTAGGCCCCGGGTGGGCATGGCCAGGATGGGCGTAGGCTATACATATATATAGTTATGTATAACCATATCTCTATATAACTCTACAACTGTATGCCTATACCATATAACTCTTATATATATATATATATATATATATGGCTGGCGCCCTCCGACCTCAGGCTCGGCGCCGGAGCAGTGCCGATCATCGGGAGTAAGACCAGCATCAATGGCTAGACTCAAGGAAACGCCATAGCCATGAGCTCTCGGAGGTCCGCGCGGACTTCTCGCATCCGCGCGCAAGGCCCTGCTCCCGGAGCGCGCGGAGCGCGCCAAGGGCGGCGCTGGAGGCGCCGCCGGGGGCCCAGCGCGGATCCAGGAAATCTGCGCGGAGCGCCAACAGCTTATGCTTATGGTGTTTCTTCTTCTTCGAACGACACCCCGCCGTGGTGAATCCATCAGCGTGGTGCTGTTTTGAAGGACGACCCAGGTCGTTGGGCAAAAACGGAGGGAAGAACACGCCGACAAGGCTACCAACGGCCACACGCCATTGATACTCTGTCTCTCCCTCCCAGGGTCCTAGAACTCCGCGCAGCTACTCCAGGAGAGTGTTGCATGTCTTTGCTGATGTTCCTCCCTCAGATCTGACGTTGCGAAACAAAACGTTGGCGGCGCACAAGGGGATTCGGGGACGGGGCAAAGCCTCTTAGAAGGAGGCTGCTTCTCAGAAGGCGCCGGCCCTACATTCGTAGACAAGGACCGCGCCCTCTACGAAGCAGGGGTGCTTCCAAGAAGCCTCCCCACTACCCCTACCCCCCCCCCCTTCTGCGTGCGCCTGGCTCAGATCTGATGCTGCCTAACAAACGAGCAACATCGCGGAGAATTTCGCCTGTGGCCCCAGGTCTCTCTTCTTGCCGTGAGGGTCCCGGGGTCTGGGTCCTGGCGAAGACGCCCGTCGTGGAAAAATGCAACGCCAGGATCTCAGGGTCCCTCGAGCTCCTCAAGTGCACGTGGTAATGGTGCCCCGCCGCCACCGCCGACGCCATCCTGTGCTGCGGCACCTCCACGGACGCCCCCATCTCGGCCTCCTCACGCTCCACCTCCCCGGGCGACTGCAGGAACGCGCCGAGCGGTGGACACTCGGCCAC